AGCACGAAGTGCAAGCTTGCCTTGGCTCAGAACCAGGGCTGTTGGATTCTTTGCCAGTGCAATTGCTGGGTATTTCATGGCATATCCTCCATCTGATACAACGTGGCCAAAGGCACCAGCTGCAGACTCCCTCTGTGCCCCACTTCTGGGTGTGGGATGGGGAAAGCAGGGTTTCAGAATAGCAGCATCTCTCCCCATCCAAATGCCTTGTTTCATCGCACTTCTTCTCCCTACACTGCTAAAATCAACACTGTCTTGTTTTCAAGCAGTGGCAGAAGGGTCAGGGCCAGCAAATCCTGTTTAATTTGTTCTTAAAGTTCACTATGGATCAGATGCAGCTCCCAACAAAACCAAGAGAGGCTTAACCGAGGCACAGTCAGCTGTAAAGTCTGAAGAGGCTCCTTAGCCTTGCAAAATCCTGGAAGGCAATTTAAACACAAGAGATAGGCAAGGAGCCCATTCTTGGGGTCTGTAATTAATCACTTACAGTTCAAATAGGGAGAGAAATAAGTTCCCTGCTTTCTTGGAGTTCAAGATGGATCAAACAGGAAGGGAAAAAAATCTCAGGCTGTCAAGGAACAGCCTTAAGAGGCAATGCATCTGAGCTACTACAGCTCAGTTCTGCACTCCTTTAACCTCCCAGGTATTTATGCAGAAAGTCTACAGGAAAAATTCCTGCACCAGCTGGTGATAACAGGCACAGTTACTTAATATTTATGATGCTGCTCTTCTTTCTGGCCTTGCTTATGTCTATGGCAACATTTGCATCCTCTTCCATGAAGAAGCCACATGATGAGCACTATTTGGCAGGGGAGAAAGTTCCAGTTAGTCTGAGATTCCATCTCCAACTGCTCACTAACTGCCAGCAGGTTCCTCGAGGAAAAACATAAGGATGGTCCATGCCTCCCTGTGACCATGCACTCACTGAATGGAGTAGTCACCCACCCTCCTTCAGCTTTGCATCCATCCCAGAAGTGTGTAGAGCCAGCTGTCAAGTCAGGTTTTTCAGAGACTGAAGACAAAAGAAATTTAACAAATTAATTAAAGGAGCTGCTGATCCCATTCTGGACTGTCTGAAAAGCCTGCATTGTAAGCAAGGGCAGAAGAAGTAAATTAAGAAGCTAAATCTGTTGTAAGCAAGTGACTGTAACACTGACAAAAAGCCACTGACTAATCTGGAGTGTTATTGAAAAAATAAGAGGTTCAGAGCCAACCAAACTGGTCTCCCCTCTTCCAAGGTGGACTCTGTCTCACAGGCTGGCATCCTCAGTGGCACTGCGGAGCTCCAGGTGCCCTGATCACAAAAAAAAAAATTCAGACCTGGGGGGCCAGGCAGCATCCCATTTCCTGCTCCTGCAAACAGCACTTTCAATGCACTGCTAAAACTCCCACACTCCTCCAAGGCCTTCCTTGGTGGTTTCTATCCTTCCAATCTCCTTTCTTCCTGTTCCTATTTCTCATCCTTTGACTTCTGTCTGACAAACTGCTCACCTTTTGAAGGCTGCTTCCTTAGCAAGAAGCCTGGGGAGAGAGCTGAAGGCTGCAGTCCAGGTACAAGTTGGGCAAATCCCACAGTGGCTCAGGAATCTGATTTTCTTTGGCAGCAGAGCTGTTAAGAGGAGTTGGCACCAGAGACAAAACCATTGTCTAGTGTTGCTATTCTTCTCTCTCCCCTTCAAGTCTTTAGCAACAACTGCATTTTCCCACCTATTTCAACTAACTTCTTTTCCCCTAAAGAAAGGATAGTCATTAGCATTTTTTTTGCACTGTCAAATAGGGCTTTTCTTATAAAAATTCTTCACGCTATGGGGAAAGTGAAGAAAAGATATTGTTAACATGAAAGCCTTACTTAATATTTTACATTTCAAATACTGTAACTGCTTTTTTTTCCCCTCCTCCTTTTTCTGAATTTTCAGTATACAGTTGAAACATCATTAATAGTGTTGGTTGCTATGGTGTTGGGCAGGCAGAGGTGTTTGTACTTGAAACCTTGAACTACACTTAATGTTGTACAACAGCAGGGTCATGCCAACACCCTTGACTTTGACCTCATTTTTCCCAGTAAAATATAAAGACTCCATTCCTTTTTGTTCTTGGGAGAGGTTTGTTTTTTGTTACTTTTTTTTCCCTGAAATGAAAAAAAGAAGTGTGAGCTACAGAAAGATAGAGATATTAAAAAAAAATAAAAAAAGAAAATACAAATTTAATAGACCCAGCAGAACCTTTCCAAAATCTTTGTTACATCAAGAGAAAGAGACTAAAAAAAGACAGCCCCCTGAAAAGTTTCACATGAGATTGTTTCTCATTTTCCCAAGCAGCTAAACATTTTAATAAACTAGGAAAATGAGACTGTAAAACCACAATATCTGACAGCAAACCCCAGGGGCAGGAACCATTCCTGAAACTAATTTTAACTCATGTTTTAACGTTGATCAGATTTCATGTGGTGAACGTCCCATTAAGCTGTCTCTCTGTTCTTAGAGAAAACCTGGTTTCTTTTGTCAACTCAGAAGCTATTTTCTTTCCAGCGTACTGTCGTCACAGGCATAGCAGGACTTTTCTGTCATGCATTTCTCTATGGCCCAAGAGATGCCCTGCCCCAGACATCTTCTCATCTGTTCTGTTTCCTTATGAGACAAGACATTTTCCACAAAAGTAGCACTTAACTGCTCCAGCAAAGAAACCCAGTCTTAAACGGGTCCCCATGCAGGCACTCAAGGATTGAACCCATTAAACATCTGATCTTCAGCCATGCAAAAGGCACCAGGTCAATTCAGACCAGCTGAAGCCAGGATCCAAAGCAAGCTTTCAGTTTCTCTGCTTTGCTTTTATAAACCCCAGGGAAGTGAAGCTGCTGTAGCAGTTTCCTCACATGAATCACATTTTGCTCTGAATGTCACCAGGACATCTACAGCCAGGACCAGCTTTTAAACTCAAAGTCTCTATTAGCATCATCTGAAAATCTGAATGGGGAAAAATTATATATCCAAGTGGTGTAGGTTTCTCTTGAAGACTCTCCTTCTCACAAAATTGTATTTCATCTTCTGGTTGCATCCAAACCACTGGTCCTGTGGGGCAGGACTTGTTGGTGCTGCATCCCTCTTCCAATAGCCGTGTCTCTGCTTTGTGCCACGTGGATTCTTGGCTGGCGCAGCCGTGTGAGCCAAGGGCTTTCCACAGCTCAAGGAATGGTCACTGGCATCAGCTCGCTCCTGTGCCTGCTCAGGACAAACTTCTACTTCAGAGGCCTGTTGTGCAACAGAAGAAAGCAAGGCTGTGTGCTGCTACACAAGCTGACTAAATGCCAGTATGACCAGGTTGGAAAACAGCTCTGCAGGCTCCTGACTTCTGTTTTTTCCGGAAATTAAAGTGCTCATTCCTTTCTAGATCCCCTTTCACAGAGGTGGAAGGTCTTTCTCACGCCTTTCCTTTGAATTCTCTGTGCACTGTGTAGGAGATGCTGGTGCTTGGGGGTGGAAGTAGGTGACAGAGTGGCCAGTTTTCAAAACAGCAAAGCCACAGTGACAGACGCCTTTGGCTCTTCCAGCCCACCAGCAGCAGGCTTAGTCACATCAGCAGCATCAAAACTGAGCAGCTCTTTAGAGAAAGGGCATTTGTCCTTTCATCTGGAGATTACAGGATCTCTCACAGATCCCAGCAGTCTGTTTTGAAATACTCTTTAAAGAAAAATACCTGTTTGTGGCACCACCTGCCATTTAAAACAGCCTCTCTGCCTTCCAGGTTTCCCTGCAAAACCTCCCCCAGCCACTTAACTGTTTGTACAAGGACAAAATGGTGCCAGAGTTCATTCCCCAGCAAGGACCATTGCCCAGCTTTCACACCAGGCACTGTATTGAGAGAAGGACCCATCATAAACATGCCAGAAAGACTGTAACCTCTATGGGTCCATTCTTTCCCCCTGTTATGCTCAGCAGGGAGAGCAGGAAGGCAAAAAGCTGCTATTGGCATCTGGAGGGAAGCCCTACAGAGATAAAAAGCTCTTTGCCTTGCTGTTTCCATTCCTTCATGACTTAATTTTTTTTTGTTGGGGACAGAAAAGATTGTAAAGCTGTAACCTCTAATCCGCTCCTGAGTGCTCCTTCTCCATCTCTTCCTTCCTCCTCTCTTTCAGCCAGCTCTAATCCTTTATGTCTCTTCTCACAGATAGGAGCTGGACTCTAATCTCAGCCGACAGGTTGGTAATTAGAGCAAGAGATTATCCTGACCCCACATCAAGAAGGTAAAAGGAGAGGAATAATGCAGCACCATACAAGATCAAACCTTCAATGTTCCATGCAGGAACCATCCCCATCTCACTCAGTTTCCCCCTGGCTCCTTTACTCCATGCCCTCTCTTTTGTCCCAACAGAGCAGGGGATTCCTGATTCTTTGTACTTCCTGCCCATCTCCCCTCTGTTGAGCAAGGACTCTGCTTTTCCAGGATTCATTCAGCCCAAAAATTGACACATTTTCCATTTCTACAGACTTTGACTATGCAGAAACTCAGCAGGTCTGTGGCTGCAAAGTGTGGGCAGTAGGGAAAACACCAATGTGGAGGAGGAGGCCCTGCTCAGAGTCTAGAGCCATGGCATGCTTCCACCAGGAGCTGGGCACCAGGTATGCACACACAGGGCCCTTCTAGTCCAGCAAGATGCAGCTAGGGCACAGAGCAGCAGCAGCAAGTCCTCATCTCTACCCAGATGCCCAGCAGTCACTATCCGATCCTTGATCTGCTCAGAAGGCATACAGCTCCCATCCTTTGCACATATTCCAGCTCAGATGAGAAGCTCATTCATGTGTCCAGCCCATCTTATCCATCTTTGGATCAGACCTTGTCTCTTGTCCTGTGTCACCAGTATCGAGCGAGGAGCAAGAATGCCATCACAGAGCACCAAGACCACCAGAGTGAAGGTGAAATTGGGAGCACCAAGCTTCTTCAATGTCCCACTCCCTACGGGTGAACAGGTGTCACCTGGATCCCCTGCAGCTGAGGCTCAGGCATCACCAGTCAACAGCCTGCAGGCACCAGGAAGTGTCAGGATACAGGTGGCAGTGGAGGGATCGAAACCTGCTGGGGACAAAGCAAGGTAAGGTCAGAGGACAGTTTTTACACCAGCACACAGCTAGAAGATGGGAGGCCTCTCCCTCATGCCCCATTCCACATCAGGTGCCCACCCTGCACCACAGAGCTCAGGACTGGTTGTTCACTCCAAGACGTCTTCTCTCAGCAAAGCCTCCCTGAGATACCCAAATCCATTTGTAGCCCATGGAGCCCCAGCCCACAGCTCACCCTGATCACAGGCAGGGAGACAGGCACTGGTTCTGCTGATGCTCTTTTCATCACCTAGCTGCTTCCCACCCCCGCTATCTCCAGCCAGGATCTTCCTACTCATGCTCTGCAAATAACAACTTTAGGTTTGCTCACTCAAAGAGGAGAAGGTAAATCAAAGAACAGTTTTGTTTGCAGTCAGCCTGAAGTGAACCTTTTTCTTTTTTTCTTCAGTTTTCTCAGCAAAGCATAAAATGAAAAAACAAGCAGAATTTCCTTTCCTGAGTTTAAAAAGAACATTTCTGTTTCTGTCCCTGAGGTAAAAGGTTAGCTTGTTCAGTCTCAAAATGGGAAATAAACAGCAATACTTTCAGCATTGTCCAAATAAAATGTTTTAAATGCTTCATTTCTTCCTACTCACCCAAAAAGGTTTGCAACATTTGTAAGTGTTCACAAATAGCTTAATGCTGGGGTGCCCCTCACCTAAGGTTCCTGTCTCTCCCTCTAGCCCTCCTGCACCCCACTGGGCTGCCTCCCTATCCCAGCTTGTTGTCTGAGGGCTCACACAGCAGCACCCAGAGCACTCATGCCCCATACCTTGAGGGATCCTCCTGGGCCGAGAAGGGACCGCTGAGCTCAATGACATTGAGCTTGTTCTCAAACACACCATAGCTGAGGGTGACCTACAAATTAGTGGTGAGAAAGGAGTAGAGAGAATGAGATGAGTTCAGGAGTAAGGAATTTGCTGTGGATGACAAAAATTCCCATTCTAGTTCTTTCTCTGCTGGCTTAGCAGAGAAAGCTAGCCAGCCTTCCACATCTCTCCTGTCTTCTTTCCCATGATGGTCCACCCTACTGGTCCTTTGCCCACTGGTCCTTTACAAGGCAGAGAGAGTGACATGTCAAAGGCCCTTTCCCAATCAATCATCATTTCTGCTTGTCCTTGTGCGACATTCTCCCAGGGATGCCCTCAATCCTCCCATCACTCCCCATACATGTGCTCCCCACCACTGATCCCAGGGCACTGTGACTGGCAACTGTGCTGCAGGCAACATCTGCTCCTTATTTCAAATAAGCATTTGTCAGGAAAGCCTCCCCAGAAGAGCACTTGATTGATTCAACGCTCATCAGTGCCATCAGCAGAACAATATGCCTGTAAGCTCCCCTCCACTTCTCCTTCCTCACACACCTCCCTCTTGCTTCCTTTCCCCTCCTTACCTGCTGCATGAGCTGAGAGGTGGGGATGAGCTGCAGGTTCTCCAGGTGGGAGTGGAAGAGCGAATTGGGAATCAGCTGCCCACCAACTTTGCACTCGATGATGTAACCCACGGTGCAGTCATCTGGCAGGTGGATGAGCTCAGAAGTGCTCACAAAGTTCCTGCCACTGGAAGAGAGTAGGGCTGCATGGGTTAGGAAAAGGGTAGGGGCAGATGTAGGCAGCCATCTGGGCTGGAGATATTACTGAAAACCAGAGTAAATTCTGTAACTAGGCAAGAAATCCCTGAGTTCCACCTGCACATACTCGGGAACAGGCTTGCTCTTTCACCATTCCCAGCCATCCTGACCCCGATACATAATCCAAGGCCTTGGTAAGCTGATGTAGAGAGCTGACAGACTTCACTGAGTCACTTCTCCACGTGTTTGGTGAAGTGCACTGAGCCCCTGGGGGGGTCAGACAAGCCACAACAAGAGAAACAGTGGAAGCACATGGCCAGGTCCAGGAGGAAATAAAAACAGGACATGCAGCTTGGATAAGCCATCTACGATAATGCAACACCACATACTTGGCCACCTTTTGGTGACAGGCTAAACCCAATTTTAAGTCTTCTGGAATTGGAATTATTTACACAATATAAAGTGTTGTCTACTACAACAGCCCCCAGCAAACTGAAATGTGTTTTAAGCACCTTAAAAACAGTAGTGGCAGACTTTATGCCAGGTTAAGCACTGTCTACCTGTGCCACTTTACCCTAGATGACAGATCATCCTCCTGACTGGGTCTACCATAAAATACCTATCACGGGATTTGGCTACAGAAGCCACCTGGTGTGGATCAAATCTGTCCTTCTGGGTATGTTCAGATCTGGTTAAGGCTGGTTAAGGCACAGCCAATGCCTACCAGTGTACATGCCTGCGGTATAACCTAGGGCATCATCTTGTTCTAGGCAGGGATAACATGACCTTGGGACCTACCTTCGTTCTCCATGCATCAAGCTGAGGAAATGACAGTGGACACCTGAGAAGCCAAAGAGGGTTTTGGGTGAGGGAACAGAAAATTATCTCAGGAGGGACGTACGGAAAGCTGGAAAGAGGCAGATGAAGGGGAGATAAGAGTCACACAAAACTGAAAGGGATTGGAAGGAGTGTGGGGAGTAACCAAGCGCCTTAAGGAGAAGGGGAGAGAGGAGTACATCATCCTGTGACCATGTTTACTGATGTGCCTGCTCTTGCCAGTTTTCAACCAGTTGGCAGACCCGTCCACTACACCCCTCCTCCAGTCCCACATCTTGCAGACGGGCAGCACGTGGCACTCTACGTGGCACCACATGCACAAATCCAGGTCTGATACTGCCAGGAATTAATGTGCAGCCATGTTGCTCATCCCTTCAAGGGCTCCCACACTGCCCAGCTCACCTGGCCCAGGGCACCATCTTCCTTGCCAGCCTGCGGCTGATGCAGAACCCAGCCCCTCCTGTGGCAAACCAGAAGCGCACAGATTTCTGGAGGGAAACACCAGAGACAATCAATGGCAGAGGCTCAGACCATACCACACTCCCAGAGGTGGGAATGCTGGAAACCCGGCTTTGATGTCAGGACAAACACAGCCCTGTTGTCACCCCAGACCCCTGACTGCTGCCCAGAGGAAGGACTTGCTAGCAGTACAGCATGGATTTTCACTTCCTCATAACTGGAACAGCCAGTTGCTCGTGCTGGCAGCAACAGGTGAGATGCCTAGGGCAGGCTTTTGTCCTGTCAGACATATACCCAAAGTCAGAGCAGAAACGTGAAACTCTGCCCTTTGGATAATCAAATTTAGTCAACATCTACAGTCATGTTTAGACAAGATGGCAAGTTTTCAGCTGTTGTCATTGCTCTTGGGACCCATCTCTCCTTGCAATACTGTGCTGGTTTTGGCCGGGGTAGAGTTAACTTTTTGTCACAGTGGCTAGTGTGGGGTTGTGTTTTGGATTTGTGCTGAATACAGCATTGATGACATAGAGATGTTTTTGTTATTGCTAAGTAGGGTTTATACAACAGCCAAGGCCTTTTTTGCTCTCTTGCTGCCACACTGGTGAGGAAACTGGGTGTGTAGGGGAGGTTGTCAGGAGACACTGCCAGGTCTGGTGGCCCCAACTGACCAAAGGGATTTTCCAGATCATATGACACCATGCTTAGTGTATAAAGTGTGAGGAGAAGGAGGAAGGGGCGGGACATTTGGAGTGATGGTGTTTGTCCTCACCCTTACATGTGATGGGCCCCTGCTCTCCTGGAGGTGGCTGAACACCTGCCTGCCCATGGGAAGCAGTGATTTAATTCCTTGTTTTACTTTGCTTGTGTACCCAGCTTTTGCTTTTCCTGTCTTTATCTCAACCCACGAGTTTTCTCCCTTTTGCCCTTTCGATTCTCTCCCCACTCCCTCTGGTGGGAGAGTGAGCGAGCAGCTGCATGGGGCTTGGCTGCTGGCTGGGGTTAAACCACAACAAATGTGAGCCAGAACACCAAAACAACCCACTGCTCCCACACCACCACAGGCTGTACCGTCTGGTTGTTTGGCAGCGTTTCTGAGGCCCAGATGGGTCGGTTCAGGCTGGGTTTGCCCAGGTAAACATCCCATGTCTCCGCGTAGGAGGACAAGAGCTTCAGGAGTGCCCGAGGGTTCAGATAGTTGTCATCATCCAAGTGGCAAAACCAGCTGGGGCAGACAGGAAGACACAAGAAGTTTGCAGTAAGGAGGGTGCCTCTTGCTCTCAGGGGTCCCCCCACAGCAGTCCTGCCTCACCTTAGGCCGCTGGCCAGGAAGGCGTCAAACTCCGCAGCCATCTTGCAGGACAGGGCCAGGTGGCTGTGCTCGGCAGAGCAGTTGGTGAAGATCACATGGCCACCTGCCAGAGGAGGGAAAACTCAGAGCCAGCCTACTTTGCACAGTCACAGAGAGGACATCTGGGCAGGAGGGAAGGGATTTGTTCACAGACAGTCTCCTCATGGCCCCCCAAAAGGCATCCAAGCCCATGGTGACATGGGTTCCACTCTTCCCCATACCAGGAGATGAAACACGGACAGAGCCAAGCAATTTGGCCAAGACTAGGACACCTGCCATCCACACTTCCACCCTGCCCACTGCCAACCACTATGCAGAGATTCTACCTATGGATGCTTTAATGCAGGCAGCACCCTGCCTCCAGTCAGCCACATGCCCTGGGGTAAGCCAACCACAGCAAATCATGGACCACCACCACAGGATTCAGCAAGGGGCGTGTTTAAATGGGCAGGGCTGTGCAGGACAGCCAGCCCTCACACCAGACCCCCTCTCAAGGCCAGGACAGTTCAGGGGCTGAAGGTAGAGTAGAAAGGTGCTGTCATAGGACAGGTCATTACCCATTCTCCTTTTCAAGGCACCATCTTCTTCATCAGTGAAGATGTAGGTCTAGGGAAACAAGGAAGAGATTACTCTCAGGGATGGAGCTGGTGCTCTTCCTGGCTGCCCACTTCCTCCTCCCACAGCTAGACACATTTGACATGGTTACCCCACTCCATTGTCTGCTGCTGTACCCACTCTGAGACAGCAGATTAATAGAAGGATTGCTGTGCTCCCCCTTCCTGCTGGGCACAACCATTAGCACTTGTGTGGCTTTATTTTCACATCCATCCCACTGCCTTGGGAACAGGGGACCCATGACACTGAGTGAGGGGGCAAGGTAAACCTGGATTGGGTGTCAGTGGTAGAAAAATTAAAGCATTGTGGTAAAATGATGCTTGGTTTAAAAGAACATCTGCTTGTTTGTGAAGTGTGCACAGCCCCCTGAGACTTTCTGCCCCCTCCTCCTCCTCTTCCTCCACTCCCAGGCTTCTCTAATCCCCCTTGCTGCCATTATGTGGCACATCTCCCCCTCTTCAGAGCCAGGCGAGGATCAGGGCTGGTGGAAAAAAGCTTTCCTCAGGCAGAAAATGAGCTTTCATGAAATGAAAAAGCAGTCGCGAGCCATAAACAGTCTCCCCACCAGCTGCCCACAGGCTGGTTAAGCACAGCACCTGCACAGGCACAAAGGGAACCAGGCAGGCAGACAACAGCTCCAGGAGGCATTGCTGCTCCCAAAGGTTCTGGCAGGGAGACACGAGTCTCTACATCTCCCCACACCCACCCAGCATTTGGGAGATATATCCCTGTCTAGAGGACATAGCTGGAGAAATGTGTATGTGAAAATAAGGTAGTGCAGGACCCTCAAAGATACCTGGCTCAAGCAGAGACAGCAGGATGGTTTCCTGATCTCAGATGGATGAGCTACAGTGCTTGGGGAATGACCCTCCATGAGCTGAACTGCAGCAATGGAGCATGCACACATTCCTACCCTATCCCACCAGTAAAGTCTCTCAGTTCAAACCACTTTCAAGGGGATCATGTGAAAAGCAGCAATTAGCCAAGTCTCAGGTAAGGGAACTGCTCTGGGTCAGGGGACCATATCATAACCTTCAGACAAGGCAGGGATTGTCAACAGCACGGGATTTCCCTTGCCAGGATGTCAGAGATAGAAATTTCCACTATGGCAAATATTTTCATCTTAAGCAAAACAAAATCTGAAGCCGTTGAAACTTTCTGACATTTAAAAAAAAAAAAAACCCCAAGAAACATTGTTGCTGGAAATTACTTGCTTAGCTTACACATCCAAAATCAACTTGATAACACATCTCTAATAAGCACCACATTTAATTTACTTAAAATAGAAAAATGCATATTTTCCAAATTTTCTACGTGTAAAAATATTCTGAGGTTCCCAGTTTTCTCTTGATGCGAGATTTTTTTTTTTTTTTTTGCAGACATCCAACATGTTCCTGTGGAACCTAAGGATGAAAGTACACTGTCACCACAGGCAACACCAGACTGTCCAAAATAACTGGGAAAAGAGAAATATGAGTGTGGGGACCAGGCAAGTCTGATTTTTCTGGCACTTTCAAACTCTGATCTCCATGGCACACCTGGCTCTGCTCAATAAGTGCAAAAGAAGATCACAATAGCAAATGCAGCTTCCTCCATCCTTGTCTTGTCATCCCTCACACACCTGAGGGTGGGAAACCTGGCACAGCAGCTGCTGCCAGAGATGAAGCACAGGAAGTATTCCTCCATTCTGGAGTGGAGAAGATGTCTGTGTAGGAAAGGATGTCTGCTGGACAGCAGTGCAAGCAGTGATATGGAGCCACTGAGTTAATCAGCTTTTTCTGGCAGCCCTTCATGAACATAAGAGCCCAGGCAATGGATAAATACTAGATTTTGAGACCTCCTCAACCCAAATTGGGGAAATAGCCTAGCAATAAAAAACTAGGAAAAGAGATAAAGATGTGGAACCTGACAATCCAGGGCCATGTTCATCGCCTAAGCTCCCAGGGTATCATTTATCTATGAAGAAATCCTCTCCAAAATGCAAACACATTAGCAGGATTACTGTCGTGTCCTGCACAGAGAACAGATTCAAAATCTGGGGTGCATTCACATCACTGAAAATCTGAAAGCCAGTTCAGGATGGGGTATTCAAAGGTTTCTTTCCAATTGGCTGTGTGTGTGGGCTTCTAAAAGGAGGGGAAGTGCTAGAAACAGTTCACATTACCAAACCACACCAGAAAGCTGGGCTTATCTCCATCAAAACTACTAGGGCAGGAATGTAAGTCACTCCAAGGTTCTGCCCAGCTAAACAATCATCAGAACCCATGCTCCTACTTAGATTAGGCTTTTGCTGAGGAAAAGGCCTTTCACTAAAATGGCTTTCACATCAATCTCCAGTGGGAAGTTTGTCATGGATCAGTTCTCAAGAGGCAGAGCATAGTCCAGCAGAGAGTGCCTATCTCACACTTCCCCACCTCTCACCAACTGCATGTCTTCAGATTAAACAGAGCAGTTTCAAGACAATCTCTCTCTATATATATATATATATATATTTTCTATCCCAACAGAGTCCAACGCAGAGGATTTTTAATTTGGCTCCCATACAGTCTGTCCTTGCCATCAAAACCACAGCTGTTCCTGCCTCCTGTTACAGTCACCTAAGCCTGACCTGGGAGGTCTGGGCTGCTTCCTCCAGGAGGAAATCATGCAGGTATCCAGCTCTGAAGCCAGGCTTGGCATCAGCAACACAGCCAGCTGTTAAAATTTTACTGCTGGTCACTGGTGGAGAAACACTCACTGACTTGGTCTCCAGCCATGATTAAGGGCAAGTGAGATAGTAAGATGCTGGATCAGCCCTAGGAGAAGACAGCCTCTGCACATCAGGACTTCTGAGACCTGAATTTCTCTGTGGATGGCTCCTAAAGCCTATGTCTCTCAATAAGGACTCAATAACAGGAGGTCTGGTGCACTATTCCTGTCCCCACAACAATTAAATATCCTTTGCAAATTGAAAGCTGTCTTTTTATTGCTAAGTGAGGTTTTCTATATTGTCAAATTTCCAAAATTAGCCCTCTCCTGTAAACTTAAAAAATGCCTTAAGCAGGAATATATTTTTTTAAAAGTTTTTGACTTTCATGTAGTTCTTTTTACCTCCCTTTCTGCTCCCATTCCCCATCTCTCAAAGCCATTTTGTAAAAAAAAAAAGAAGAAAAATACAGAAAATTGAGGAGGGAGAAGGAAAATACTGAGCTTGCAACAAAAATTGATAACACTCAAAAAACTCTGTTTAAAAATGAGTAACACTCCCATTATACCCCTTCCTTCTTATTTTCTTGCTCTGTCTGTGTAGCTTTTCAGAGGCTGGCAGGAGCATGGAAAATTCAACACCTCTTCCAAGGTTTGGACATCACTTGCATTCCAGAGGGGATCAGATGAGCCTGGGGAGCTAATATCTAATTCCTATCATCAGCAGAAGGGCCAGGCACTGATTTGTCAAACAAAGAGAGGCAGGTGAGTTGCTCCGTAAAAACCCACTGGGAAGGCCCCACCAGCAATATCCTAATGCCAGTGCAGCCACGTGGTTGGGTTTGGTTTCTCCAAGGAGCTGCTGGGCTGGAACTGGCTGGAAAGGAGAAGTGCATCTGCAAGAGGAAGCAGGGCATCTCAGATGCTGAGAGGGACACACAGCCAGGAGAGGAAGCGTGCTCAAAATAGGACATGGCTTCCTGTGAAGACCGCAGCAGACCAGACAGTTGCAGCACCATGAAGTGGAAAACCACCCTTACCCAGAAAACCCTGCATGGCTTCAGGCACTCTCCTACCCAGCACCTCCGCCCCCGTCCCCCTCCCTCGCTGGGGCCTGAATTTGCCTTATAGGCACCCATCACACACAGGCAGAGGCAAAAAAAAACCACCCTTCAGGGCAGCCACAGGATTTCTTCTTTCTTGAGGAGCAGCTCTGTGAGGGAGGGAGAAAAGCACCGGAGCTCTGGGGAGTACTCCTGCCCACCAGTAAGCCAGCCTGCACAGCACCACTGACGTGGTGCCCTGCATCAGTTTCTCCAGCAGGAAGGAAACTCTCCAAACTGTTTTCGCAAAGGATGGAAACATTGGGGCCCCAGTTAAAAAAAAAAAAAGAGTAAAAAATACACCCACACCACTTCAAGATCGTGCACGTGAAGGCATCTGCCCAAGAAGGGAAACTGTGGACTGTGCTGATGTGCTGGGGGGTGAACAGGGCTAACTACAGGAGGTCCTCCAGGAGCCTGCCTGCCTTTTCTTTTGCCCACTGCACTGCACCTTTCCAGGGCAATGGGTGCTCAGGCACAGTGTAGGCATCCTGACAAAGGGCTGGGAGAGCCTGTCAGCTCCAAACCCAACAAACTCAAGGCACTGGGAGAAATGGAAAGCCACCATTTCATACAGACACAGGATGGTCTCTGCATTCAGTCTGGTATGTCATCTTTCCTATGAAGCAGCTACTGGTAAAACATTTTGCTGGGTAGAATCTCCCTTTGAACGTGAAGTGAGAAATAGAGGAAATTAAGCAAAGTACTGAAGGGCAGTACATGCCCAGCCTCCCCTTCCTCTAGCTTGTCCTGACACCCCGTGCCTGCCCCATTACTAACACCTTCTCTCTAGCCAGAATCCACACACTCACCTGTTCGCTGGCCTGGGATATCCACGTGTCCAGGAGCAGCTCCATCCTGCTCTGGTGAAACCTCTTGGTTGTCTTCACAGCTATGAAAATGTCCCCCAGCGTCAAGCTTCCCTCGGTCCTGTACACCTCCGGAGGATGGAGTCTGAGGTCCTTCTGCCCCCTGCCACCAGCTCCCTCTGGGCTCCCTTCGCTCTGCTCCTCTGGCTTTTCCACCATCCCCTCCCCGACCCCTGGGTACTGAGCTGCTTCCCGAGCCCCACGGTGCCGCATGGAGAGGAGAGCCACACTGGCAAGGAAGACTGCGGCTCCAGAGACACCGCGCAGGAGCCGGCGGCCCATGGCTCCAAAGCGATCGTGCAGCCAGCGTCCTGCTGAACAAGGACCAACTCTGCCTGCGCCTCCACGCGACGCTGTCTGCTCCTCCCGAGGCCTCCGAAGGAGCAAGATAGTCAAGGACAAGGTCTGAACACAGGTGGTCAAGGAAGAGGGTGGGCAAAGACCAGGAAGCCAAAGAATCAGCCCAGCTGAAGGATGCCGCTGAAACAGGGGGGATTTTCACAGACTACGGAGAGCTCAATGCCCCAGCGAGGCAGGGGACACACGACTGGAAAACACTCCGAGGAGACGGCACGTGGCTGGCACAGCCTGCCAGGAGGACAGCGAGCATCCCTGCTCCCGACGGAGAGGCCGGGCGTCCCAGGCTGGGTGCTGAGGCGGCGGCAGAAGAGATGAGAGCCGTGAGGGGGACGTCTGGACGGCAGGCATCAGCAGACAGCAGCCCAGCGAGGAGAGGCGAGGCAGCGGGCCCGCCCCGCACCTGCTCCCTCGGCAGCCCGCTGCCGCCAGCCCCGGGCCCGCCCCCGGGCATGGGGCGGGGCGCCGCCGGGGCAGGAAGGATGGGGAAGGGGGCAGGCCGGAGTTGGACGCTGGGCTTGCCTCACCGGGGCATCCCCGCTCTGGGACACCTCCGAGGTGACACACGGCGGATCTGGGAGGTCAAACCTGTTGCTTGACCGATTCTCCCGCTTCTCTGTGGCAGCTTGGCCCGATCTCTGCAGCCCTGCTCACCCCGCTGCTCTGGAGGGAGGCGGGGATGGTGACGCTGATGTGGGCTCTGGTGGAGTTGAGGTGCGGGGTCCTGTGTTGTTCTTGCCAAGAACGATTTTTTTCCCAGGAATTCCCTCAGCTCCAGACTTTCCCTATGAATACAGGTCTGAGTTGCTGCCCCTGCCTTTCAATTCCAGCTTGCCTCCCAAAGCAGGATCATCTGTTCCCCACTGTCCCTCCTGCTGCCAACACCCGAGTCTCAAGCTAGGTTGTGACACCCATCTCCCCAAACCATGACTCTGCTCCGGAAGGTCTCTTTTCCTCTGCCTCCAGCCCTGTAACCCCCACACTCTGCCCCATGTCACATCCTCACCAGGATGTCCAAGGACATTTTGCTGCCCAGGAGGCTGCAGAACGCGTGACTCTCAAAGGAAGAGGTGCACCAGCGACCAAACGCCTGAGAAAGGGCATACTGCCTCCCTTCCAGTTGTAGAATCACAGAATATCTTGGGTTGAAGAAACTTTAAACATCATCCAGTTCCAAGCCCACAGCCATGGGCAGGGACACCTTCCAGCTTGTGACCAGCTTGTTCAGAGCCCCATCAAACCTGGCCTTGAACATTTCTGGGGGAGCATGGGGTGGGGGCAGGGGGGTGCAGTGTCACTGCTGAGTTTATATCCCACCCAGGTCCTTGCCCCCTGTAGCAGGGCTGAGCTCAGCAATTTGTCCCTTGTGGCTTTCGTGCTGTCCAAGATGTAGCTTCCCTTTCTCTGGGAAAGGAAAGGCAATGTCCTCTCTTTTTGGAAAAGCTCAGAGACCTGCAGGCACAGCAGCAAAGTGCCACCTCCAGCTCCTTCCTCACCCCCCAGCTTCACCACTGGTCACCCTTGAGCCACCTTCACTTCCAGCCCTCTGGGTGCCAGCAAGGGACAGGGATATCAAAGACCCACACAAGGACAGAGACCACCATGGAAGGGAAATTTTAGAGTCAGTACCAGAGATTGCTGCATGCTTTTGCTGGTTCAGTTAGATATGAGGTAAGTGACCATGCAGTCCCCTTCACACCACCTGCAGGCCACTTTACAGAGTAGACAGAGAGATCCAGGGAGACAACCAACCCAGGAGAGGGGATGATATCCATGCCCCCATCTCAGCTTCCCTGTGCAGCAAGTATGGGGACAGCAGGATGGTAGTGCTCTACATAAACTGCCGAAATCAGAGCGCCTCCTCAGGGAGCTACAAGCTGTGGGCATTCAATCTCAGCATACAAAAAAAAAAATTAAAATAAAAAGTAATAAGTTGGGGCCCAGGAGAATTGGCAGGGGTGTGGAATGGCTCCATGTGGAAAAGGACACCCCGCCCCATGCACATGTCAGATCATGGGACCTTAGAACAGAAGGGCAGGGCAGCGTGCCAGGGTCCCTCTGTTCCACACTCCCACCATGTGTCCAACCACAGACACTTCCCAGGCACTCAAGGAAGACCTCTCTACAGGGCTAGACCTGTGTGCTCAGTTTCTCCCTATCTCAGACACACTTTCACTCTGCCCATGTCCCTGGCTACAACTTTTTACTTTTGTAAGGAAGAAACCACTGAATCCACTTCTCTTCCCTTCTCCCCTGTATATCTCTAAGTCTCAAAGACTCCTGCCTTCCCCTGAAGCAAGAACATCTCCAGAGCATCTCCCATATCCCTTTGGAGAGTCCCTGCAGGTTTTATTTTTAGATCACTTTGAATACTGATGCTTTCTTACACTGATTTGGGGCACGGGGGGGAAGTCATTCACCTTCAGGCCTTACATTACTGCAGGGATGTGAACCTGGTGTGACTGGGATTGCTCACATGGCTGGCCAATGCTCCTGAACCAGAAATTAACCTCCCTGAGTGCTCCAGCCACATGCCAGCAGCCTCAGGCACCTGTAAAGGAAGCTTCTATAGCTCCAAGGCATCCTGGAGCACCTCCCAGCTCTGACTTAGGAGATCATTTGGGAGGCAGAGGTGGGGCACAGGCAGGGCCCCTTAGTGATGGCCCCAGAAGACATTACAAATACAATTCAAAGCTACCTCAGACACAACATGGTGCCAGGAAACTCTGCTTGGGCAGGGGTCCACTGTGGACTTCCCAGGGTGACATATGTGCCACCCCAACAATTCCCCCCCCCCCCCCGCCCTTACCCCGGAGAGAGAAATCTTGCTCTCAGTGACTCTTCAGAGGGGTTTGCACAAGGCTGTTACAGCTGGTAATTGGTGCCCAGGGCTGCTAATTGCATTGTGCCTGTTACCTAACCCATGACTCATTCCTCCAAGCAGGCAGCCACCCCCTTAGGAGGTAAAAAAAAGGTGGGCTGGGATGTGCAGGGCAGAGAGGGTCATTTATATTTGCCTTGGAGCCCTCTGCTCCACTTCTGACCCATGTCCAGAACAAGTTAAAGCTGGATTTTGAAAGCCTCGGGGGAGAGAAGCTGGATAAAGAGAGAGTCTGGAAGAAACCTGGGAGCAGGAGAGGCAGTGCTGCTGCTGCTTGGCTAGCTGGGCACTGCCAGCCTCCCTCCCAGCAGCCTCCCTCTGCCTCCCTTTCCCTGTGGCTGAGAGCACCAGTGGCCCAGGGAAGTGCTGGGGGACATGATTCTTTGGGAGGGCAGCAAGAGCTAAGCTAGGAGCACAGCCTGACTACCCAAGGTGGAGGGGCTGCTTTTGACCCCCTTCAGCCTAGCCCATAGGGCTGGGGCTCGTTCCCAGTGCCAGCAGGGACACAAAGAAGTTTCAAGCCCTCAGTCACAGAGCTTCACACACAATGTTTTCCCTGAATAATCAAGCACTACTCTTTCCCAGCAAAGATGCAAATTCCAATCTCCAAATCCATGACACGGTGAATGGGAACTTGTTTTGGGACTTGTCTTCTCATCAGCTCAACAAGAATCCCACTTTGTTTGCCTGTAGGGCAAGCACCCTCCCAGGGGACTGGCCGTGCTGGATGCTCAGGCTGCATGCTCTGGAGTGGATGCCACATGGGAGCTCTCATCTGGAGCCCTGTGTATGCCAGCTCCCCTTCCCTGAGAGAAGACTTGCATGGCTCCAGGGCAGAGCGAGGACTTTGCTCTACATTTTAGTGACTGCAAGTTAAAATCTTCATTTTCTTTCCTCCCCCCCCTTCACTCTCGTCCTCATAAAAGACACAGGCAACTGGTTTAGAGCCTGAAATAACACCTCACAGGGGAGTCGTGAAGATCAGCAAGTTAATCTTTGCTCAGAGCTTCACAAGTGCATGGCACCAGCAGTGCCAAATCACAGGGGCAAGGGGGACACAGAAAGGACCTGACCCTGGTGCTGGTTGCCCATCTTCTCCCACTGACCCCAGCATCAGCTGACTCTGCCTGAGCTCATGCCCCAAGAGCCCGAAGCCTCCCAGAGCCACAGACTTCATTTTCCTCTGGCCTCCCTCAGGAAAGACCACCTACCACCACAACCACCACCTCCCCACAGTGCCAGGGGTACCCTGGCACCCCTTTCCCATGGCATCTGATAATGGTGGCTGCATAACAGGATTCACAACCACGCAGCCTAAGTGAGCACTGCTGTGGCTACCCAAAGCCTCCGTCTTCCCCCCGCCAGAGTCTGAACCCACTCTTGCCCCATGTCAGGGTGAGAACCCCACCTTGCAGGGGCAATGTCTCCCCCTTTCTCCTAGCAGCATGGCTGGGCTCAGTCTCCTTGTTGCCCCCCAGGAGGGTGAGGTAGCTGGCTTGTCACTTCACACTAACCAGGGCATGGAGGGATGCAAAGCTCTAGGGACCCCAGCCAGACACAATTCAAAACTCAAGTGAACTTTTCCCTGACTTTCCTAAAGCACCCTGACCAATATCAGTGCTGGGGAGAGCAAGGGACTGAAAACCAGGGGCCAACAGAGAAGGGAGGGTACTTAGTCTGTAGCCCACTTAGCCTGTCCTCTCCGCACATTTCTTACTGCCTTACAAGAGCAACAGCAGTGCTCCCTCCTTCCCCTGGAGGGCTGGGCAGTTGGGTCTCACCTAAAGGAGGAGAAAAATATCCCATTGTGCATCACCCATACCCTCCCAGTAACACACAAGCCCACAGCCTGCCACCCGTTCCCATTATGAATGGTATTTAATTCTCCTTTACAGGCTGTTTGCCAATGAAAGGCTCCATTAATAATTTACAAGCAATAAAGAGTACAGCTCCTATAAAACGAGGGTTTGTTGCAACCTTAGTGTCACTCCAGTCGCAGTGGGTCGCGGGTGTATGAGCCATGCTCCCTGTGCCTCGGGGCCAGAGGCGAGGTAGATGGGAAGAGAGGCCCCGGAGCACACGGTGCCACTGCCAGGGGAGATGGTGGTGATGGGAGAAGAGCTCGAGAGCTTGAAATCTGTGTGAGAAATGCTCCCACGCAGCCTGATCCCACACACTTCCCCTACGTTCCCTGTCTGTC